TAGCAAGAATTCCACGGCCCTAGGTGGTGCCTCACACCTGTAATCTTGAGTTTGAGGCCAGCCTGGATTACATAGTGGGTTCGAGGCCAACCTGAACTACATTGTGATAAGACCTGAACTGAAAAAAACAAAACAAAACAAAAAAACCAAAACTAAATTCCAAGGGTCACTGCACCAAGTTACAGTGCTCCAGTTTTCTGAGTAGAAATTTGACTAATAGAGCCTTTAAAACATTTCACCACAGGTTATATTTTTAGCCACAAAAGTTAAATATAGAAGCTTGTTTTGTAAGAAACCACCAAGCCATCTTTCAAGGCGGTTGTGCTGTTTTTTGCTTGCTCCCACCAGCAGTAAAATAGCCTTCCTGTTGCTCCGTCCTCAGCTGCACTCGTTGACGGGGTGTCCTGAACTTGTGCAGCTCTGACAGGGGCCAAGTGCACTATGGCATCTGGCTTCCATTTTGATTTGCAGTTCCCTGATGGCACCTGATGGGGGCTATCTTATCCTATGCTTATTTGCATCTGTGTATCTTCTGTGGTGAACCTCAAGGTCTTAGGTCTACTTTTCAAATAGGATGCTTGCTTTCCTCCTCTTCACCCCCGCTTCCCTTCTCTTTGCATTTTTATCCTCTACCCTACTCTCCCCTCTCCTTCTTTTTCTCTTCTTCTTCCTCAACTTTCTCCCCCTCCTCCTCGTCCTCTCCTTCTCCTCCTTCTCCCTCTCCCCTCCTGTCCTCTTCCTCCTTCTCTCTCTCCTTCCCCTCCCCCACCCTCTCCTTTTCTTCCTTTTCTTCTTCATTCATTTTCAATGCTGCAGATCCCCAGGTCTGGCACATGCCAGGTAAATGCTATTCCACTGAGCTACCTCCTCACTCATACATTGTTTCCTTATTGTTGAATTTTAAAAGTTTAAATATAGAAATGTAGGGGAGGTATTTACTAGAGTTACTAAGATGTATAAGAATTTTAAAAGCAAGACTGAGCCAAGAATTAAAAACTGTCTGGGGAGGCAGCTCAGTGCAAAGGCCCTGATTTCAATCCCTACTGTAAAAAAAAAAAAAAAAAAAAAAAAAAAAGCTAGATTTTAGTAACTACAAGTTATTTTTTCTAAATTTGACAATACAGAATTTTATTTCCTATAAAATAATAATAATGAAGTCTTTTTTATAAGATTTTTTTTTTTAAAAAAAGCTGATCTCTGATAATTGTGTGACAGGGTTAAACTGAGGGCTGGGGCCATACTTGGATGATGATGGTGGCTGCTAGGTGATGGCAGCCAGCAAGCACAGTGTGGTGGCTGAGAACACAGATGCTGGATTTCAAACCCAGTGTCACCATTTATCAGATGGATGGCCTTAGGCAAATTATTCAGTCTGCCTTGGCATCAGCTTCCTAATTTGAAAAATGAGAGGACAAGATTTACTTACTGTTGGGGACTGAATGCTGTTGTCTCCCCAGATTCATAATGTGAAGCCGTAGCTTCCCGCATGGCTGCATTTGGATGTGGGCCTCTAAAGAAGGAATTAGGATTGGGGACGGCACATAGAGCAGAGCCTGGGTCCCATTGCGTCAGTGTCCTTCTGAGAAGAGGCACCAGAGAGCTCACTGTCTCTTTGGGAAGCACTGACCACGGCCTTGTGACCACACAGTGAGAAGGTGGCTACCTGTCCCCCTGGAGAACCTAACCACTCACCAACCCCTCCAGCATCTTGATCTTGGACTTTCAGGGTCCAGAACTAGGAGAAAATCAATGCCTGTGGCTTAGGCCACCTTGTGTACAGTATGTCATTATGGCAACCTGAGCTAATTAAGATGTCAACCTTGTAGAATGGTTGAAGGACTGAACGAACCCACTTGATATTGTTTGGGTCTTAAATGTCCCACAAAGGCTCATGGGTCAAAGGCTTAGTCCCCAGCCTGTAGTGATTGGGTAGGGGTGGAACCTGTACCGGTTAGGGCCCAGTAGAAGGAAGGCAGGTCACTAGGTGTGCCCTTGAAGGAGGCACTGGGACTCACCAAGCCCCTTGCTTCCTGACTGCTTTCTCTACCACAGGCTCAGAGCAACTGAACTAGTTTGCCATGGACTGAAGCCCCTGAAATCATGAGCCAAAGAAGCCTTATATGTTGATTTTCTCAAGGATGTTGTCACAGAAATGGACATTTCTCTCTCTCCCTCTCCCTCTCTCTCACACATACACACAACACAAACACACACGGCTTCACACAGTGCCCGGCACATGAGAAACTATACATGAATTACTTGGGATTGTTGACCTCAGATCGGCAAGGTCATATACGCTGTCACATGCATGTTTGGACAGGCACATCGAGGTTTGAAAAAAATATCTGATAGACTAGATTAATTACCCGGGGAGACATTCTTCATTTTCGAGTCAACCCAGACACAGGCAAGCACGCCCACCTAGGTTGGGCCATTATCTCATGACTTCCTCTTTCTTCTACCACTCCCCCAAACATTTGGGTTCACGTTGGTTTACAAAAGGGCCCCTGCTCCCTTTGCCCCCAATAGACCTCAAGCCAACAAGAAGTGCCTTGTAGTGGGTCTCAGGAAGGAGAATACAGGACAGGAAAGGCCTGTGCAGATAAAGGAAGCATGCAAAGCAGAGATGGTGGTTGTAATCATGGGAATTCCAACAGCAATGGCATTGAGTTGAACTCTAACTTTAAAATGGTAGCGCGGGGGGGGGCACAAATATTAAATCTTTAAATAATTGGTTCCTTCCTCTTCATGTAGTCATCGTACACATATATGGATCCTTTTGTCTTCATAAAATTATAATGAATGTCGATGTAGGATGAGAGAATCATTTTCTACGAAGGGTCAGAAAGTCATAAAAAAAAACTTGCTCTCAAATATTAAGGTATGTTTTCCTTTACAAAGGATTAGTTTTATGGGGGAGGAGGAAGTTAAGGAGACAAGAGAAAAAGGAAGAAGCACGAAAAGATAGAGAAGGGAAAGAGAAAAGGGATAGAAAAAAAGAGCTGGGTCTATAATTCCAGAACCCAGGAGGCTGAGGCAGGAGGACTGCCATGAGTTCAAGGCCAGCCTGAATTACCTAGTGAGACCTTAGCTCAAGAAACCAACCAACCAGGGCTGGGGATTTAGCTCAGCAGTTCGGTGGCCTGCCTTGCAAGCGCAAGGACCGGAGTTCAATCCCCGGTACCAAAAAAAAAAAAAAAAAAAAAAAAAGAAAAGAAACCAACCAACTAGCCAACTGACGAAACAAACAAGAACCCTAAAAACAGCAATAACAAAGGCAGCAAAACCAAATAAAAAGTCAGTAGTAAAATTCCTCTAGGGGGGAAGGAACACTTTTCTCCATCTTTTTAAATTTTTGATGGGCCCGACAGTGCATGGTTATGCTCCTCCCACCGCTCAGACCTTGGGAGGAACCTCTGGCCTGAGTCACAGATGCAGTGGCCCTCCAGGTCTGGAGATGTGGCTCGGTCTCATTTAGGCAGCAAGACAGAAGGAGAGTCAGGGTCCACCCGCATCCCTGCTCCTCTGGCGCAGCGCAGGTGAGGCCCCGCCTCTTGCCTCACATTTGCGGCTCTGATTGGGGCTCGGCGAGCTCCGCCTCCAGGGTTTAGGTCCGGGTGGAAGCCATCTGGGAGACTACTGGGGTGGGTATATGACACCCCGAATGACACAGAGAGATCTCCAGCTTCCCTCCTTTCTTCTTAAAGCTCTCTGCCAGGAAGAATATAGCCTTGTAGGTTTTTATAGTTTGGTAGTAGAGCAGGGAAGTTTTAATGAATTCAACTGTTATTCATGCTCAGTGACAGGCATTGAGAACGCAGAGGGACACTGGGTCCAGACTCTGCTCCTGCAGTCCATCGTCAGGGAGGCAGTAAATACCCCTGACCTTGATACATTCTGCACCCTTCTGCCCTCACTGAGTGTGGGTGCACCTTCCAGGGCACAGACTGACTCTCGACCCTCGACACCCTCCAGTGGGCACTATACTTGTATGTCAGAAAGTTAAAGTAAATAAAAGAGAGACATCTTTGGAGTGTCTGAGAAAAATAATTCGAAAGGGAGTCGTTGCATGTCTCCAGTTTTAATTATTTGTTTATTTATTTGTTTGCTTGTTTTTTGAGACAGGGTCTCCCTATGTAGTTGAGACTGACCTGGAACTCACTATGTGGCCCAGGCTGGTCTCACAGCCATCCTCCTGCCTCAGCCTCCCAAGTGCTGGGATTACAGGCTTGCACCACCACACCGGGCCTCCATTTTTTATTTTTAAAAAGCCCTTAAGTATTTTTTTTTCAGTACTATGGATTGATACCAGGGCATTTTCACTGAATTACATCCCCAGTGCATTTTTAATTTTTTAAATTTTGAGACAGGGTTTTGCTAAGTTGCCCAGGCTGGGCTTGAACTTGCGATCCTTCAGTCTCAGCCTCCTGGAGTGCCAGAATTATGAGGCATGCCACCATATCGAGCTTCTTAAGCATTATTTCACCTTAAGTGGATGCAATGGAATCAAAGAAAAATAACATTTAAAATTTTGCTCACCTTTAAACACAAGGCAGGATCGTTGACAATAAGCACAACTGTGACACACCTGCAGCCTCCTTGTTGGAAGTTCACTCTCTGGGTTCCAGCAATGGTGGCCTCTCTTCCTTGCACCTCATCTCGCTCTGAGTTTCCCAGATCTACTCGGTAGGCTGGACCATTATCTTTCATGGTGTGGAATCAGAACAAGCTATCAACGTGTGACCCTCCTAGCTGTTCTTCTAACCCCAGCCCCACTACCTCTCCATCTCCTTCTTCAAGGCCCAAAGCTTCACCACACTTGGTGGTGATGGGTTGCTGCCCACCCCCAGCCCTTGCTCTTACTCACCAGTAGAACATGTCCCCCTGACACACACATCTCCAGACCTAACTATGCTCCTTTCTAAGGTGTCTAGTCAGCTTTCTCTTCACTGGGACATAATATCTGACACCCACAATTTAAAGGAGGAGAGGTCTAATTTGGCTCATGGTTTCAGGGGATTCAGTCCCTGGTTGGCTCTGGCTGGATCCATGGCAAAGACATCAGAGTAGAAGGGTGTGATGGCACAAAATGCTTAGTTCATGGTGGCTGGGAAGTATAGCAGAGGAACACTGCCAGATAGGAAGGGGCCAGATACCAGGTATAGTCTCCAAGGTCATACCTCCATGACCCAACTAGGCTCACCCAAAAGTGTGCTCCACCACTCCCCTGGGTGGAACCCAAACTGATCAAGCTGATGTTTAACCTTAACTGCCATACAAGGTTTCCCTTTAGAGACAATGGCAATCCATCCATCCCCTGGGCTCTTAACATTAAGCTGTGAAAAGAAGTTCTGTTAGCAGCTGCACATGGAACACAGCATGGCAACAACATGGAACCAGCCCATACCCACGCCTGAGCCAGTTTGAGAACCAAGCTGACACGGCAAGGAGGGCGGGCTAGAAGCTGAAAGAATTTTGGGGCCTGACTATGAATGGTGAGGTGCTGCGTAACCTGACCCTGGGACTACCCTCCTCAAGATTTCTCATTGTATGACAAACCACCTTTTCCCGGCTACTTAGATCAGAGGAGTCAGCTTCCTCTGCCACACCTGTGAGTCCTCTGGTCCACCTTCTGTGTCCATGGAAACAGAAGCTGCAACATCTCACTGGTGGTAAGGAGTAGACTTATTTAAACTACACTGCAATTTAAAGAGGAGGAAAATGACGGGCTAAGTAATTCATGCTCTGGATTCATTTGTTTATTAATTTTGAGTTAAACTGTTTATATGGACATGATTATAGACTCACACACAGATGTGAGACATAAGGCAGAGTGATCCTGCTACCTGTCCCCCAGGGTCCTCCCATGGTAATATCTCACAAGGCTGAAGTGTGATACCTTCCATGCTCGCCCCTTGTCATACACCAAGATCGGTGATTTGGGGATGGATTCCATGAAGTCTAAAGGGCTTTATTAGGGGAAATTTTCAAAGCAAGACTCAGTAAAAGAAGAGATGGGCTGGAATTCTCTGCCAGACACCTACATGGTGGGTGGGCATCCCACAGTGAGACTTGGCCCATTTCTCTCTTTCTTATGGAGCAAAAGTAAGAGCCGCCCACTGGATGGAGAGAGGAGATTCTGAGCTTTTAAATAGCACCCAGTGTGGAGCAAGACACTAGCTTCTTATAGGAGTTGCCTGGGGAAGTCAGATGTGTAGAACTCGAAGACCAGGTGTCTATGAAGTGGAGAAACTGTCTTGTGAGCGGTTTGGGTGCCACCCTTTCAGGAGGGGACTGTTTGGGGACCCGGGTCCCAGTTTGTTCTCAGGGTAATGCAGATGAGCCCCTTGGTCAGTTGTTGACACCCTGGAGTCTTATTTGTCTTCGTGTTCCCAGTTGTGGTTAAAAGCCTGGGATGTGATAGACACATGAGCGTTGTCTGACAATTTAAGGAACAGACATGCTTCTGTACAGATTGAAAAACAAGTGATTTTGTTATTACTGGCAGGATCGAGGGAAGTCTCGTCATAAACACAGTAGAGCACATGGATTGAATTTGTAGAGTGCATGCGCTTTCCTGCCCTTACTTTGATAAAACCTCAATGAAGAGTCCACAATTCTAGGACATGTCTGTGTGGCTCAAGCCAGATTCCCTTTTAGTGAATTCCAGCCACTTCCTCCCAGCTCTAGGGAGTCAGGCCAGTGTCTGGGACCCTTCAACCCAGACCCAGGCACTCAGCAGAGGAAGCCTCCATGGGGGGAACAACTCTGGAATTTCCCACAGCCTCACCTACAGGAATCTTTATAAACTTTCAGGACTTTGAATTAGATATGGAGTCAGTGGGAAGTTAGCCACTATTTATCCATTTGTTATGAAAAGTTTGAAAAATGACTTCCCTTCCTTATTTAGTTTTGTTGGGATGATATATATAATTAAGACAGGTCTTGAACTCACCATGTAGCACAGGCTGGCCTCAGAGTTGCAGTGATCCTCCTGCCTCAGCCTCCCAAGTGCTGGGATTACAGGCATGAGCCATCCCAGACAGAAAAGCTTCTGTTAAACTGATTTGCTCTGTGAGGGATTTTGTTTATAAACAAAATCTTTGTTAAATAATAATGAATTTATTTTCCCAAGAGGAAACCAAGAGGTTCAGATTTTTTTTCCTAACTCAGAGTCATTCCTGACTGCTGGGGATTTAGCTCAGTGGTGCCAACGCCTGCCTCACAAGCACAAGGTCATGAGTTAGATCCCCCGTACCAAAAAAAGTCATCCCTGAGGCTGTATTTTGAATAAGCAAACAATTACTTCGAAGCTTCCTGAGAAACTGAAATCAGTGGGAGAATTTTTGTCCTTTGTCTATCCCGCGCCCCAGACACTCCTCAGTACTTTCTTCAACCTTTGAAGGCTCTGAGTTGGAAACTAGAGGTTCAGGAAGCGTCAGACAGGGAACACGGAATTAACAAAAGCCTGCAACTTCTGCTAAGCCTTTTTCTGTTGATTTACTCCCCCTTGCTGGTCAGGGTTTCTCCACTTGGGCCATTATTTCTGCGATACCTAGGGACACTATTCCTGGCTTGTTACGATGACAATGAAAGCTGCTAGCATCTCTCACTGCAGGACTGTCCCGAGATGTGGAAGAAACCACTTACCTCCTTTGTTTTTTATTAGTATGTGTTTGTGGCACATAATTACTGCACCCATCTTGTGGTCTTGGTACACACATATCATCTTTATTTGTCTCCTTTAAATGAATCTCTCCATTATAGTTCTCTTGATTTCTGGTACAAGGCTGTCACTACTGGATGGCAAAAAAAAAAAAAAAAAAAAAAAAAAAAAT